GCACACATCATGAACGGAGTCAAGGCCCCGTGCTGGGATGGGACCTTATTACAATGGAAGAGACTATTAAATGCTACAACAATCCTGGCTGCAGCTGTTCTAAGTGCTAAGCAAGCTGACACACACTCTGCTTAACCTGCGGTAGAGAAAGAGGTAGAGACACAAGATCAAGTCAACAGAGAAGAAACATTAATCAGCACATGTACACACAGGTACATACACATGCAGACACACAAGCATGCACTCGAATGGCCTGTGCATATGCATTCACGTATGTATGCATGAGTATGATGAGACTGATTCCAGGCCAGGGCTTTCCACAGGCTAAGGTTCACCTACACTGAACAACATTCCCAGACCCATGCTATGCCTATTCATAACCTTCCACCAGAATATGCACATGAATATTCAGAGGTGTATTATTCATAATAGTCCCAAATGTAAACAATCAAATGTCCAATGGCTGATAACTTGGTAAACAAAACATAGTCATACAATGGAATATTATTCAACACCAAAAAGAATGAAGTATTTACATGTTATGACATGGATGAATCCTGAAATTATGCTAAACAGAAGAAGCCAAATTTGTATGTATTTATAATATTGTTCATAAAAGACAGATCTTTAGATACAGAAAGTAAATTAGTGGTTGCTACTGGCTAGAGGGAAAAGGAAATTGAGAGTGGCTATTTCCAGAGAACAGGGCTTTGTTTTGGGTAGGGAGTGTGCTGTGACTACACAGTGTGGTGCCTGCGCAGGCTTGGGCAGATACTTTAGAAGTCACTCACTGTGGACCTCACAATGGTGACTTTGAGGTCATATGGCATTTATTCTCACTGGCTTATATCTCTAGCTTTAAAATCTCCTAATGACCTTGCTTTCATTATCACACTTCCTCCTCATACAGCAACAAGTTAAGGCACTTCCCGCCAGTGAGCAGCACTGCTCACTCTTAAGCACTCAGTGGTCAGCCAGGTCCTTCCCATCCCTCCCTCCCTAAGACACAGTCAGGTCGAAAACAAAAGTATGCTAGCTTTGGGTAGTGTGTAGTAGCTTTTTGTTTCTGTTTCAATATAATAACAGTCTAGGTGAGGCTTCTATTCTGCAGGAAATATGGCTCAGAGTCAGGGTCTTCGGCGCTACAGCAGACTAGTCTCTTAAGACCTCTATGATGACATACTTTGCTGAGCAGGTCACAAAGAGAAGCGCCACACTCCCCTTGACTGCCTTCCACTGCCTCTCTAGGAACCTGGGATGTCCTCATCCCCATGGAACTGGCTGCAGAGCTCACCATCATAGGCACAGCACTATGTGCAATATAAGCATACGAAATATACAAACGGATGCTTCCTGAGTAAAATCATTCTCGTCTCATAAGCAGAGCCATGACGTGCCCACCATCTTTGCAGAGAAGATGGTCTGGCTGGTCTCCAGCATCACACCTGATGCAGGACACTACACATTCGTAGAATGAATACTGGGGAAAAAATTCACTCACTGGATAAACAAGCATGTTATCCAGAAAAACTGCCAAGTCTTAGCTGGAATACAATGGTGCCCATGAGCCACGCACAAACCCAGGGCTGTAACATGCAGAAGAGCCAGCTACTGAAATGGACAACCCCCACCCTTTTTTTTGTAAAGCATTTTCATTAACCCCTATCACTGAAACTCAGCAAGGAGATACAAAATGTTTAGTACTCATTCTGATGTGCTCAAGGTAAAGAGGGCCCGTTTCATTCCTTAAGCTGAACGTGGATTAATTACACCATGAATGCCTCAGCATTTTCAGCATTCTAGGTGATATGTTGGGGATATGTATAAAATAAACCAAGGCACTGCTTTTTAGATTTTTATCTAGAAAAACAAGTCAGGCATGGACACTGACTGTACCTTTTCTTTGGTGTACTTTTCAAATGATAATTCTGTCCACTGTCACCATTAAATCTTAATCCATTCCAGCTCCTTGCATGGGTCATTGAGTCTATATGTACTGCTGTTATTTTAAAATGTTTCCCCTTGGTAGGGAAAGAGGGGGAGAAAAGATGTTGAGAGCCAGATGGGCCTCTTCACAGTTCATTTATCAAACCTAATACGCTGGGCTCCACCCTCCTCTCTCTCACTATTGCGGTTAAACTTCCATATAATTTGGTAATCATTTTCATTATCAGACAGTGACCCCAAAGCAGCCGATCCTGGGATACTCAGTCCTTGCAGCTGCTCTTTTTCTGCCTGCTCCTACAGTAGACCCTAAGAGCTTTGGGTTTTATTAGCTGCAGACTGACCTCTGGGCTGCGGAGGTCAAGAAGGGGTCAGATCAGAGGGCTTGCCCAGTTCTTTAAAAGCTATAACAAGCTGTCCGTCAGGCAGAGTGGACTGTATAAACAAAGGCAAATCTTCAGAAATTCGGTACCTCTTCTGTTAACACTTGCCCGGCATTCACACGGTGCTCCTGACGGGGACGTGAATGGACAGCCTTAATAAGCCTATTTGGAGAGGGCTGTTTATAAGATTATCGAGTTTGGGGAAGGAAACCCAACTGCGCTCAGAAGTGCCTCTGGAATCACAGGTTTGTGTGACACTGTGACAAACTCAGTTACCCCAAGTCACTGCAGAATTGACACTTTCCTCGAGGAGCTAAATTATAGAGAACATATGCTTTTGGTTTCAGACATGAGGAGTCCCAGACAATGGCTCCACTCTGGGCCTGAGAGAGGGGCACATGTTTTATGACCAAGTTACAACTTTCACTGAAAATGTTCTCTGGCAATCATGATGGCCGATGAACCTGCTGAAGACACAGCATGTGAAGGGAGACTGGCACTGGAGTCACTGCCAGTGCGAGTCGGGCTGACTAGATTCTCGAAGTTATACAGCTGAATGTGTGTTATAAGCAAATTAGAGTCATCTGGATGGAACTTTCTGAAGAAAAGAATCTAGTCTCTAATCTAACTAGTCCCCCGGTAGCTTTGATGAAGGTAAAAGGCTGCAATCTACTGCTTGGCCTTTGGTGAGTGCTAATTATTTTCTGTTAAAGCACAGGTTTTTTTGTTTTTTTTTTTTTCTTTTTTCTTTTCTTTGTGTAATTCCTAAGCACATAATAAGCCAATCTTTAAAGAAACCAGGCAGCAAGGAAGAGAGGCACTTTCTGGGATGTTTTATAACTTTTACCACCACCCGCTGGACAGCCACGCAAGGCCCGGCCTGTGCCAGACGCCGGGCAATGCTTTGATGAGGAAAGAGAGGGATATGGTGACTGTCTGTTTATCCGGCTCATATGGATGGGGCTTTGAGATAGGGCACCGAGATGGGAAACATCAAATGGGGGCACAGAGGGTGGGGGAGGAACACGGTTATTTAATACTCCGAGGACACTTTGCCTTGGGAGCTCTCGGGACATCGACCTCTTGAAATTTTCTTTCAGGTGTTTGGTTTTAAGAGGGTCTGCACAGTGTCAGCTGCTAAGCCCCTGCTTCCCTCCGCCTATGCCACAAAGGACTTGCGAATTTTTGTTTCAGATACTAGACTACATCAACTTCAACACTGGCTCCAGCTCCTGATTAAACTGTTAGCAGTAAAGGGGCCAGAAATGCTGAGGCCAGACTCCATTTAAACAGGCCATCTTGGCCATGCTGTCTAATGAGTTGATGTCATAGGAAATTACTGGTAACAAACTATATGCACCCAACAAAAGACAGCCGCTCCTCTGAGTGGACATGCTGGGCCGTGCTGTCTTTAGAGGGAAGAGTGCGGGAGAGAGAAGATAGAGGATGACATTCTTCTCTCCTTTCTAAATTAATATGTAGCTCTAGGCAGAAGAGAGAATGCGGCAAAAAGAGAGAAAGAAACCCTTCTGATGCCCCAATGCTGGTAGCCCCTTATTTAATTAAATTTAATACAAATATAATAATGGTAACACAAAAAGCCCAAATTTATTTATTGAAAGTTAAATGGTAAATCATTCCTTAGTCACTGCTATTGAAAACTCGTTTACTGTGACAACCCTGAGAGAAAGAGGCGGTGCTGGAAACTGTGATGCTCCCCTTGAACACAGTCTGAATTAGACAGACAGTGTGCAACCCCAAGGAAGCAGCTTTCTGATACCCAGTGAGAAGCAATAGCTCATGCTGCCTTTCTTAGAAAACGCTGCTCATGTCTTCATCCCTTCTCAAACACATTTATTTTTATGATCATAATTACTAGTAAAGCTATCAATTATTGAAAATTCCATAGTATGAAGTTTTGGAGAATGTTCTTTGACTTCTAGGCACAGAGAGAAGATTTCTAAGTATCAAATAGGACCGTGGAACAAGAGGCAGTGTTAGCTCCCGACTCCTCTCCCTCTTGTGCAGAGACGGAGAAGAGTTCAGTATTTTCACCAGCTACACACGTAGAAGAGACCCAACATTTGGACAAGCCAGCTCCGACCTCTCAGATGGCAACTGTTTTCTAGGAAGATGACACTATGCTTCATCAGCATGTGCATTCCATCAGAACTGATGACTTATACACACCTTCCATAGTGAGAGCTTTCTAACCCCAGGTACCTCCATACACAAAGAAACCAGACTGAAGCCAAAGGAATCTCCACCTCAGCTGAATCTGAAAATAAGGCAGGCCAATAAGCACACTGCTTCCAAACAGTCTGTCTGAATACAGTGACAGAGTATACTCCGTGGACTTCCCAGGCATCTGCCTAACTGAAAAGCAAAGGTAGTCTTCGGACTGCTGGTCAGAAAGGGCGCTTGGGCATCAGGTACTTAAACTACATTATGCTCAAGATGCAAACCTGCAGGCTAAATGTTACACTCAAGGAAAACTTGTACACACATATGGACAACGTCGGGCGTCATTACACTGATGAGGCTACCACAGGCAGGAAAGCTAACTTTAGCTCAGAATGACTTCACTTCACTTATTTCCTATGGCCCCACAAGTGAGAGGCACAAGGCAAGCCAGGTCAGAAACAGCAAACCCCACCTCCCGGCAGTACGAACCTGGCATGCCATTCTTTCCTCAGATTCTGGCGCACGGTGACTGGGGCCAGGATGGCAGTCAGAATTTCAATCCTTTGTTCCACAGGGAGCCCCTCTCTTTTAACTTCACGAAGCACAGCATTTGTCTAGAAGAAATGATCCCCAAAAGAGAAAGAAAATGTGAAAAATTAATAATAAAAAAGCCCATAAGCAAATAAGGACAGTAAATCAATGGCTTTTTTATTACAGTTCCCTTGCTAACAAATCAATACGGTAAATGATGGTCAAAAATGGCCAGCATATATTCTGGGTTTAATCAATGTACATGGCACACAGGGCAAACTCCAAAGCACCATCGCCTAAAGAAACGTGTCCAGACGCTGTGCATTTTCACTCCCATTTTCTCAGCACACCAACCATTTCACCCCCCCCCCCCCCCCCCCCCCCCCCCCCCCCCAGGGAATTGCCTACCATGAGCTAGTATTAGAAATGAGTTTCACAGACTGGTCATTGTGAGTTGTTTGTTTTGTCTTTAAAACAAAACAAAACAAAAACCAGGCTCTGACTTTCCCTCCGTTTCCTGCCACCCACTGGAGGCTTTCTGCACGGCCCCTCTCATTGGAATCATTACTTTCAGTTTCCACCCACGTCAGAGGTAGTGGGGTGTTAGCACTCCGTTTTCCTTGCTTGCTACAAATCAAGATCTGGCAAAGAAAGAAATAAGGGCGTGAAAATCAGAAAGAGCAGTATATCTCAATAAACACCTTTAAGATTATTTATTTACTCTTAAAGGTTCTCATTTTGTTTTTAACTGTGCATACTTTCGAGTGTTCATGCGTGGGTATGGACACGTGAATGCAGGAAGGTGCTGGATCCCTTGGAGTAGGAATTAAAGGTTGTTGCGGACGGCCTGACATGGGCACTGAGAACCAACTCAGTATCTCTACAACAACAGTACCTACTCTAGCTGCTGAACCAACTCTCCACGCCCAGATTTATTTATTTACTTTTGGGGTGTCTGTATCTACGTGCATGCATGGGTGCCTCAGCATGCGTGTGGGAATCAAAGGACAATTTGTGAGAGTTGGTCTCTTCTATCGTGTGGGTCCCAGCCTGACTGAGGCTGTCAGGCCTGGCAGCAAGCATCTTTACCTGCTGAGCTGTCTTGCCAGCTCTGTGAATGTTATTTTAATGTCAAGTCAGTATGAAATATGTGCCGAGTCTATAACATACTTTTGTAAACACCAGTTTAACTAAATATAAATAAATAAAGATATATCAAATAGAATGCAGGCCACACATATCTAGGTAGTTCTAAAAACATGAAGAAAAAAGCTGGTTTTCCTTAGAATTTATAAAAATAGGCTTAAAATTTTTATTTATTTATTATTTATACAGTGCTCTGCCTGCATGTTTGCCTGCAGGCCAGAAGAGGACAGCAGATCTCACTATAGATGGTTAAGAGCCACCACATGGTTGCTGGGAATCGAACTCAGGACTTTTGGAAGAACAGTCAGTGTTCTTAACCTGTGAGCCATCTTTTTTTTAGATGAACTGGCCAAAGCAAAGGTTAGTGGAACCAGAGTCCTCCTGTGTCTTAGCTGCTCAGCTTCTGCCTTCTGTGTCGGATGCTGGTGCAACCGCTGAGCTGCTGAGCACTCATGGAACTTGGCAGCCACCTCTTCACTGTACTTGATCTTTCTACAGCGTGTACTTTATTATCCCCATTGCCAGCTTGAGGAGGGGTACAGGAAGGAGTACTCTTTCTGTTGGCAACACCCACCTTTTGGCTCCTTTGTCCAGCAACAGCACCTAGATTCCCTGCAGGGAAAGTCCTTTACCTCACAGCTCCTGGCCACAGAGGACTGTCACATCTCTATAAAGGCATGAGCCAAGTCACTCTGATTCTTTGATCTGCTTGTCCCACTCTTGAGGGGATGATGAAGACAGATTTTCGCAGGTGGTCCACTGAGTACCTTAGCTTCTAGTACTCCCTATCTTCGGCATGCTCGTTTTTCCTGAGCATCCAGTCAGGTCTTTCTCTGCTCCTCAAATCATCCGAGTTGCCCCTAGCTTTTATATAAAGCCTTAAAAAAATAATAATCAAAGTCTATTTCTGATGCTTAGCATGGAATCGTCTGACCAGCATAAAACCAAGGCAGGAGACAGTATCTCTATTTGAAGGGTTCTCACTGGGTTGAGAACCGTTGACTCACGCCTCTAGGATCTAGACACGCACGATCCTGGGAAATAACACCAGGGGATCCCCAAGCTTCCATAAGTATGTCGCAGTCTTCCAGCCCGGAGAGGAAGCTGACTTCCTGTAGACAGTTCCAGCATGCAACCCAAGGTCCAGGAATTACATATCCCACTTAGGGCAGACAGAGGATGAGAATGACTGAAGCAGAGGTTTCCTGCAGAGACCACATGCTTTGTCACATGGCTGCAACTGCGCTCTGCGAACTCAGCCTTTCAGAGATGCTGGCTCAAGGGGCCCAAACCAGGAATTCAAGCAAGCAAGCAAGATTCTGGTCAGATGAGAATGAAGCAAGCATATTCATAACTAGGTGTTCAGTCTGAATCATATCCTAGTGGCAAGGCCCTTTTCTATCTGCATATGGACACATGGACAAGACCTTTCTCTGAGTTCCTGTCAAAACTGGTTGTCCAGTATACCCACCATTGTGATTATTAGTGTTTAGTTTCATCTCAAACTTACTGCATCTATGTGCAAAGTTTTGCTAGTTCAACAAAAGAATGCCAGAAAGTACTAATTATTTAAAATGAAAAAAAAAAAAAAACTTAAAAAAATGCTATCTGGTAACCACCAGGAACACAAACACACTCCTTTGAGCATTCTAAGTGGTGGAAAGGCTCTCTTTGTAGAGTAGCTTTCACTTTTGCAGCTGGTCCTGATTTCTCCTGACCTCCATCCATTGGGTGGGGGGACCTCTCTCTCTCCTAGGCTCCTCCCCAACCCTTGGTATGTCCCCCTTGTCTCCTAGGTGAACCTTCTTCCTGAGATCATCAACTGTTGCCAACCAGAGGTCATAACCTTCATTCTCGTGTCTCTCCTGCCCGCTCTCACCGTAGAGAGAGCTTTAAGGGGCTCTTGTAGACTCATGACATCTACCTCCCTACCCTCTGCACTGAATTCTGCCTCATGCAGCCAACAGCTGGCTAGCTCTTCCTAAACATGGTTTCACAGCCTCCATCTGCCCACACCTGAACCACCTTTGTTCTGCTATCTCTCTTCTCTTCACCAATCCTACCCTAGAATGAGTGGCACCATTATCAGGGCAATGGCACAAACTCTGGCCTTGGAGTCATCTAGGAGCCCCTCACTGGCCCCTCACATGCACTTCTCAGCACTAAACACTGACTTATCTCTTACACCCGTATCTTCCTGCCCTCTCAGTTCAGACCTCTCACCTGTATCACATAATGAACTCCGAACTGTCATCAGTCTTACCCGTCTACAAATTTTCTTACTTCAGTAGAGAACACTTGTGGGCTTAGGATGTCGTTCAGTGACAGAACGCTTAGCATGCACAAGCTCCTGGAGAGGGGGAAGGGAAGAGGTGGAGACTGGCAGGAGGGAGGAAAGAGGAAAGGAAGGAAAGGGGTCATTTTTCTCACAGTGCAAGTCTGAACAAGTTTCTTTCAAATAATTCTGCATTGTCTACACAGTGGTTTGTGAGCTGTCTGCGTGAAGTCCTGGTGCTTCCAAGAAGCAGAGTAACCTCGGAGATGAGGATCTTAGCTTCAAACCCCAACACAATCAGGGTATTTCTACTTATGTATGCTTTAGTTGTTAAAATTAATATATATATATTAATCTTCTGAATTATATATATATATGTATATATATATTTATATATATATATAAAAGCTCAAATTCCTAAGCAATGCAAAACCAAAGCTAAAGTAAAACAATAGAAAGCCTGTTATCTTGAGTCCCGCTGGCTTTGCCAATTTTATCTCTTGGCATCTTCTGTTCCACACAAACTGCTAGGAACTCCCTGAAAGCACCTGGTTGTTCTGCAGGATGCACTCCCTCGATCCCTACTTATTCTTGCAGACACGTCTCAGATCACACGTCCTTAGTGAAGTCATGAGTCACAGACTTGTCCCAAGCTCAGTGGCCTGACCACCTAGGAGCTCGTCCTAAAAGACATCTCAGTCCCCTGTGTGTGTTCAGTCATCTCCATGTTTCCTCTCCACAGTACTCTTTCAGGACAGACAGGAGCTATGTCCATTTCCAGGGCATCTGGAAGGCCAGCAGACCATGACCATAGACTCCTTATGGACATATCTTAATGCGTGAAGCCCAACAACATGCTGTAGGCACCTGGAGCATTAGGCAAGTGGTCACCTAGACAGGACTTTGCCAAAGGAGTATTTGATTCAAAATACTCCTGAAGACATGTCTAAGAAAAAGCTGTGACACCCACTCTAAAGTGATATAATTAAGAAAAAAAAGTATATGCACCAAAGGCAATTCTCATTTCCATGGGCTGCCTACAATACAGTTTTACTGTAGTACCATTGCATTTGATCCATATACAAACTCAGTTATAATCCTTTTCAACAGAGAAGCTAACTTGGAGTCAAGAGATACACAGGACACTAAAGACCCCAAGAATTCCACAAAGCCTTTAGTTTCTTCTCCCTCAAATCTACATGCACAAAACCAATGCAAAAAAAAAAAAATCCATAACAGAGAGAGAGGAAAAAAAAAGAGGGAGGGAGAGAGAGAAGAAGAAAGAGAGACTGAGAGTCTAAGGAATCTTGAAATTTAGGCTTACATTTCACAGTCTTCTTTGAAAATAATTTCTTAATTTATTAAATTAAAACATAACTCATTTAATTTTTGTTGAATACAATTGTACTCAGTAACTTTTCACAAGCCTAATAATGAGTGTGCCTATGAATACACATGCCAAAGGACAGACTTTGGTACATGCAGGCTTTCAGAGAGGAATCCCTGAGATGAACAGGATGAACACATGTGTACTCCTTACAAATAATTCTGCTTATGCATGAATTCCTTTGGTCTTCTCTTTACATGGGGTGCCAGTTCTGACCAGCCTAAAATCCAGGAACTCACACTGAATCTACCACCATAAAATCAGAGAACTTTTGC